AGCTGTCTAGATAATCCTGGGGATCCTCAGTAGATATACTGCTAAAAGTAGTAATGAAGAGCTTGGTGAACCGATCTAGTCTCCACAAAGTATCGGCAGACATAGCTGCTCCATCACCAGTCTGAGCTACCACACCTGGTTGTATTGCTCTATCTGGCTGAACCGCTAGAGTCTGAATCTGAAGAGCTACCTACTCCGGAGTGCGAGTAGCAGGAGTCTGGGCCCCTTTTTCAGCCTGAGAGATAGTTGGTGCTACAAGAAGCAAGCCTGCTCGGGTGACACTCTCCATGAGGCCCACTAGTCAGACCAAAGCATCCTGAAGAACTAGGATAACAATAAACCCCTCTGGGACCTGAGCTGGGCCCATCGAAACTGCTGGGGCCGGAACCTCCTCATCAAAGTCAATCTGAGGCTCCGCCACTGGTGCTGCTGCTCGAGGCTGAGCTCTGCCCTTACCTCGGCCTCTAGCACGGCCCCGGTCTCGCCCTCTGCCCCTCGTGGGAGTTGCTGCTGGGGGCTCGGGCTGCTGAGCGGTGGATGAGGAAGCATATGTTCTCGCCATCTGCGAAAGAATAGAGTAGAAGTTCAAATAGCATTGAGAAACAAAACTGCACGACGATTAAGAACAAATGTGAAGTTTTTCCTAACTCTGTAGCCTCTGGGGATAAATACAGACGTCTCCGTACCGATCCCTCAGACTCTACTAAGCTTGTCTGTGAACTGTGAGACCCATGTAACCTAGAGCTCTGATACCAACTTGTCACGACCCGGATTTCCCACCCTTGGGAGTCGTGATGGCGCATACTAGTGAGAGCTAGGCAAGCCAATCCTTAACTACTTACTTCATTATCAAATTACTTATTTTAACAATTAGAAGGCGATAACCTGAAAATCTGCGAAACTTTAAATAATTAAGCAGAAGATAACAATTAAACATCTGAAATCTGCGACTATTACAGTTACTTAAGTCTCAACCACCCAAAATCTGGTATCACAGTGTCACAGACTATCTAATATTACTACATACAAGGTCTGAAGAAATAACAGTACACTGTTTCTGAATAAAGGAAAATGAAACAGGAAATAAAGATAGAGGGAAACGCCAGGGCCTGCGGACACCTGGAGGTCTACCTTGGGTCCGGGTGGACTGAAGGAAGTACTCCAACTACTGTCTGAAAGATGCTCCTGGATCTGCACACAGTGCAGAGTGTAGTATCAGAACAACTGACCCCATGTGCTGGTAAGTGTCTAGCCTAACCTCGGCAAAGTAGTGAGAGGCTAGGACCAAATTACCAAATAAACCTGTGCAGTTCAAATATATGCAATGGAAAAGAAATATAGAATTAACCAGTCAATATGGGAGGGGTACATGTTGTGGGGGAGATAACAGTTCCGAATAGAAAGGCATTAAGTAAAGAAAGGAACAACATAACTCGAATATCAACAAAAAATCAGAAACCAACAATTTGCACGGCATCACCCTTCGTGCTTCTATTCTCATCCTCACCCAAGCAAATATATAATAAAAGTGTGCACGGCATCACCCTTCGTACTTTTACTCTCGTCCTTACCAAAATAATCATATAATAAAGATGTGCATGGCATCACCCTTCGTGCTTTTACCCTCTTTCCTCACCATATAATCAATAAAATAGGCACGGAATGGTACATCGTGCGACACGACATCACCCTTCATGCTTTACACTCTTTCCTCACAATAACAAACAATACACGGCATCACCCTTCGTGCTTTAACATTGTTCCTCACCCAAACAACAATCACAAAAAAGGGGCGAGGGAATAAACAAGATCATATAGGGATCCCGACAAGGGAACAACAATTAAACAATTAAATCCCGACAAGGGAGCAACATCAATAATATCAACATCTCGGCAAGGGAGGTAACCAAAAAAGCAACAATATCCCGGCAAGGGAACAATTTAATAATTCTTTCCCTTTCTTTCACTTTTATTTCATAACTCACTTTACCACTTGAGTCAATGCTCCAAAAGGTTCAATCATCTCATATACTTTCACAATTCGTATTATAACTTGAGCCAATGCTCCTCGATGTTCAAAGGTCACAATTCCTTCCACAAACTTTTCACAACAATTAGAAATCATCACCAAGGCATGAAAGATACAACGAAATCAAGATATTCACAATTTAAAGACTCACGGTCATGCTAGACACCAACGTATAGATACTCGTCATCATGCCTATACTTCGTACTCAAAAATTACCAAATAGAAAATAGGACTCAAGTCCTAATCCCTCAAGCTAAGGTTAGGCCAAACACTTACCTCGAACTCCCACGGTCAACTCAAGCCTCAAACACTGCTTTTCCTCTCGAATTCGGCTCCAATTCAATTGTATCTATACATAATCGACTTCATAACATCAATAAATGTTAAACAATTCATATCCAATGCCTAATTATAGCTTTCTAATCATTCTTCCCAAAAATCCAAAAATCGACCTCCGGCCCGCTTTGTCAAAACACGAGGCTCGGACCAAAACCCGATTACACATTCACCCATGAGCCCGAATATATAATTTATTTTCAAATCCGACCCCAAAACGAGATCTAAATCCCAATTAATCAAAAAGACCTAGCTCTACCAAAATCCCTAATTTTCTACCCTTAATCACATGTTTTAGGCCTAGAATTTAATGGGTGTTGATAAAAATGGAAGAAAATAAGTTAAAGATTACTTACCCAAGAGATTATGGTGAAGAAATGCTTCAAAAAATCGCCTAAGAGCTTTGGAGAAGAAGAGGTTTGTGAAATTTTTATAAAATACCGAAAGTGTTTTGTTTTTGGCTTTTAAAATCACTGGGCGAAAATGCCCTTCGCGATTGCGACAGACCCTTCACGTTCGCGATGGGTCAGGCTGGTTAAACCTTCGAGTTCTCGTGGCCAGGACCGCGTTCGCGATGGGATATCCCCCCAAAGCCTCGCGTTCGCCTTGAGCTACGCGTTCACGTAGAAGGAAATTCCTTCAAAAAAAATTAACCCATCGCATTCGCGTGGGTACTCCCGCGAACGCGAAGAAGGAAGTAACAGAAACCCAACAGCTGAAAACTTGAAATTTTCTTAAGTCTGAAACCTTCCGAAACACATCTGAAACATACCCGAGCCCTCGGGGCTCCTACCCAAACATACGTACTAATTCAACAACATCATACGAACTTATCTGTGCGATCAAATCGCCAAAATAACCTCAATAACAATGATTTAAACCTCAAAATCAAAGGATTTTTCTCAAACTCCATAAAACATCAACTTTAGCAATTTAAGTCTGAATCACGTCAAATGACATCCGTTTTTCACCAAATTTTACAGAAATATCTTAAATCATATATAAGACCTGTACCGGGCGCCGGAACCAAAATACGGGCCCGATAACATCATGTTCTAATCAAATTTCATTTCAAATTTCTTTAAACAATTTCAGAAAATAATTTTCTTTGAAAATTTATTTCTCAGGCTTGGGATCTCGAAATTCGATTCCGGGCATACACCCAAGTCCCATATTTTCCTACGGACCCTCCGGGACCGTAGAATCACGGGTCCGAGTCCGTTTACCCAAAATATTGACCGAAGTCAAATTAGCTCATTATATAATCAAAACTTGTCATTTTTCACAGATTTTCATATTTAGGCTTTCCAGCTACACGCCCGGACTGCGCACGCAAATCGAGGTAATGCTAGATGAGGTTTTTAAGGCCTCGAAAACACAAATTTTAATTTAATTGCAAGTTTGTGTTGTCAGATTCATTCTCTTTGATTTTTGGATTTAAATAGATACGAGTGTTGAGTCTTTTAAATAACTGTTCGTGCCTTCACTTGTGTCTCTGCTCGTATTTGTTGCAACTTGTGTCTCTTTGTCAATCATTACTCTTTGACCAGCCTACGTGTCATGACACGTCATCTTTCAATCACTTTAATATGTAAACTCAATTTTTTCCAATACACTACTAGTTTTGAATATTATAAGGTATCTAAGAATGCAACCGTTCAATATCGAATATCATCTTTTGAGCTATCAATTTTCTAAATATTCTTAAACATTTAGCTTTTCAACATAGGAAAAAGAAAGAAAGAATTAATTCGTTGCTATGGCAACTTTAAGCGCGTCAAACAGGCAATCTATTATTTAAGGTATTATATATGCAGGTTACATTCTAAAGCTTTGTGTAATGAATAAATTCCCCACAATTTTAATTTATTGAATAAAAATTATAAGACATCTAGAATGTAAATGGTCACATCGAATGTCATCTTTGAGCTATCAATTTTCCATATTTGGCTTCTCAATATAGAAAAAAGAAATAAAGAATTAGTTCGTCGGTAAAGAGTGCATGCGGGTGTTTTTTTTTCTTCTTTCAGTACTTCTGGTGAAAGAGTGAAAACTAATGGAAATGACTGAAAGAAGAATAAATAGAATCGCCATTGAATTAGGATTAAAATTTTCGGGACTTAAGACTTCTTAATTAAGCCTCTAAGCATGGCCCTATTACTCAACCTAGACAAAATCTTTTTAATATACGAAGATGCAATCGCATTAATTCTGTGATTCTGACTTTAATTTCGGTGAATATATGATCTGTAAAACAAGTGATTCCACTAAATGGGATCTTTACACAAATAACAAGTCAAATTTAGTGTTTACTTTTCCTAGTCAGTATACATAGATTATGCATTGATTACACATACTATAATTGGATTGTACATATATTATATATCCCGCCAGCTATTTTTAGTTTAATCGATTGGGTGAGCGACTATTTAGAGCTAATTTGTCATGATATAAGTACTATACAAAACCATTAATCCTCCACCAACCCAATGCCAAACATTTTTATTAAAATTAGGCTCTTAAATCCGTTCCTAAGCCATACATTACATGCAAGTCCAATATAATGAAATAAAACAGTAAAAGCCCAATATCTCAATCCGTACTTTATTCTAAATTGTTGACCAAATATGTAGAACTAGGAAATATTGTGACCATTAGAATCTGTCTCATGAGTCTTATTCTGACCATTAGAATCTGTCTCGTGAGTCTTACTCTCCTTCTCCAAATTACCAGTCTCTCTGCTTCGCTTCTCTTGTGCAAGATCAAGAAAACAAGGGGTCAACATAGTTTCATATTCAGGCACTTTAGCATAACCAGGGAAGTAATTAATATCAATAATAAGATATTGATTTTCAACTCTATTATCCCTTATCATATCATAGTTAAATAGATGCAGATTCATAGCATTCCTCAGTTGATTAGACACTTCATTTATGAATCCCATAGGAGGCATCTCAGCGGCTTCCATCATTTTAGCAAGACTCTCATCACTCTGTTCTTGATCAGCAAAATAAGATATCATAGAAAAAGGAATTAAACTCTCTGAATTTCCCATTTTCTCCTCTGTTATATCAGCCAACGACTTCCTTTTAACACATTTCACGTGATCCCCAGCTACGTAAACCTTGAATATAACTCCCCCGTGGTTCACGAATTCCTGTAATACAATTGGTGGTTTAATTCCGTTTAATCCGTCTTGGTTTAATACTAAATACATCTGGTGAGCGTCAGCTGTTGCATTTGCGAGCATCGCCTTTGCAATTATGGGAAATTTCAACCCCTCACGAGCGACAACGTCATGCAATGATAATTCAGAATCGTTTGAATTAACGAAAGCTTGCTGCGGAATACCAAGATTCTCCATTTTCAATTGACTGACTACGTCGAGCATGGATACTCGATTGTGTAGCTTCTCGATAGATTCAATCGGGTCGACGATTATGGAAGTTGGGTTTTTGAGGGAGAATTCTTCCAACTGTTTCTTCCACTCTGAGTCATAGAGTTTGTGAAAAACAGAATCAAACGGACCTTGTTCGACCAATGGTTTGTCGAGATCGATAGGAATGAGATCAACGCCATGTTCTTTTGCGTGAATGAGGAGAGAATCTTGGATAAAGCTGCTGACGCTTCTAGGTGCAAGAGCGTAACCAATTCGAAATCTCTCTCCAGCTAAAGATTCAGACATGGCTACACAAAGAGGAAAATATAGAAATGGTGAAATGAGATGAAGATTTTATTTAACGAAAGGATTTTAGAAATTGAAGGTTAGTGAGTGTGGAGTATGGGATTGGTATTGAGGGTGTATTTATGGACATGCAGAGGAAGGATAATATGGCAATAAGAAATGGAGTAGTTAGCTTTTTAAAAGTGTAAGTGGGAATTAAAAGCAGAAAACGACATGCATGGCAATTGAAAATGGACGTAACTTTGTTTAAAGTGTAATAACACGAATTAATAAGCCAAAAGACAACATGCATAGCAATAGAAAATAGCTACGTATTGTTATTTGGAATAATAATTAGGTAGCTACGTTGTAAAGTGTAATTAAGTGCGAATAAGCAAAAGAAAAGATGGGAATGGAAATAAAATAAATTTAGCTTTTGTTTAAAGCGAAAATGCGAATAAGCATATTACAACATAGCAATAGTAGAAAATAGATAGCTTTTTATTTTTAAACTATAAATAGGAATAAGAAGATGAACAACATGCAATATTCAATAAATGGCTTTGTTCAAAGTGTACCTTGAGATTATCAAAAGGGTGAGTATTCACGTGGAGCTGCTCTAGGAATGAGAAGATTTGGGAATCCCCACTTTTATTTTCTCTATGTTTTAAATTGTATTTGGCCGTCCTTTACTTTGACACTTTGCAACGATGCATGCAATAGAATGAAGATAGGAAAAAAAACGAGGCATACAATAGAAATGGAAAGCTTTCTAAAATAAAAGTATGTATATAACTGGAAAAATAAGTAAATCTGTGAGAATATGCCCACGCGGTGGAAAGATGCGCTGGATTTTACAGTGTCGCACCAACGTCAGTTTTCCTCAGGCTGCGTCAAATTTAGTCTAATAATTCGCTCAACATGTGATATGTCAATTTCAGTGGAACTCGTTCAACATATGATATATATCACACTATTCATCTTCAATTTGAGTTACTTGAATTTAAATCAAACTGAAGATGGATTAATTTGATATATTAATCCATATGTTTGAACGAGTTGCACTGAATAGTTTGATAGGGTCAAATTAATCCATCTTCAGTTTGAGTTAAATTGACCATATCAAACTATTCAAGTAAATATGATTTGATTATTTATAAAAAATAATAATAATAGTAATATTCAATTAAGTTAGCCGATTATGACTTGTTATTTAGCTCAAATTGAAACTGTCATTCGGACCTAACAAAATTTAGATGACTTGAGTTGTGACTCATTTATTAACAAAATCTATTTTAACCTACCCTTATTTAGCCAAACCTCCACCAAAATTGACACCCTCACTTGGTTTCTATAGAAACTACCAAACCGGCCATGTCAGATGATTTAAGTTTGGTTAAACCAAATCTTACCTATAAGATTAAAAGGACATGTTTACCACGAGGTAGGCACGTATACGCAAAAGCTTGTCTCTATAGGATTTAGTAAAGAAATAATTGTTGCCTAATTGAAAAAGAAAGGGCATAGTAAATAGCAGTTTGACAAACCATGTTGTCACTCTTTATTTCACTAAAGCAAATCTGACTAACTAAAAATAGTTAATGAAAATTGAACTTTAATATATTGTGTATTGTTCTTGAAAAAAGTAAGGAATCTTGAGTACAGTTTGAATTCTTATTGTATCTTTCTTTGACAATATTTTCTTTTTTTATACAACTATGAGCATTTGGAGGTCAAAAATTATGGTAGAAGATTAGTAGGCAGTTGAAAGCTTCCTCTTTCCTTACCAGTAGTATTAGTAGCTCTCGTATTTTTATGTTCTTATATCTCTTATATCATATTATTTCGTTCGCTTCAGTTATCATATTTTACTATTGTTACTAATTGGTACTACTACTACTTCTTCTTCTTCTTTTTCTTCTCACCTTTTCCTGACCCGAGGGTATATCGGAATTAGTCTCTTTACATTCATTAGGTAGGGTTAAAATTTACGTATACACTACCCTTCCCAGANCCACCACCACCAAAAAAAAAATACATCCAAGACATGGAGAATGATCAAGCAAAGGTCAACAACTGCAACCGTTGATTCCACAATCGGCTAATCAATTCAAAGCAAGAATGGTGTGCACTCTAAAAGTAGAGGAATAAAGTTAGTTTTCTTGCATCAAGGAACCAAAATTTGTGTTACTCAAATTTTGTCTCAGCATACATAGTTGCGTATACGTTATGATATGCATGATTCTGTGTATCGTGATTTGAAACCGGGTCTCGTGTTCACAAAAACCAATTAAGAGTCCGTTGGGATGAAAAGCACAAGAAATTTGTTTACCTCAAGCTTCCAACGAACTCTCCACAGCAAGCTCTGCAGTTTCTACTACTTTAAGTTTAAGATGCACAAATTAAAGGTTTTTCATTTCTTTCCTGTCCCTTTATTGTTTCCCCCTAGTTCTTTAGTTTTTCATTGTTGGCAAAACGCATAACTGTGAAGGACATTACTTAGTCATCCTATACTGACCATTGGCCTAGATCAACAAAATCATTCTTTTACGAGAACCATATAAAAGCAGCAACAAATCTCTCAATAATGATCAGGGATGATGATTGATGATACCAGCTCCTGCCTCACCATTTCTCCAAGCTCCAGAGCAACACATCATATTTCTAAGACCGAAATTTGTTATGGGGAATTGGGTATTTTATAATCTTCCAACTGGTTCAATTAAAAAACTGATGCCAAGTTCTTATGTTGCAGTGAGGTGTGTTATTTCCCATGTAAACCAAGAATGACAAAACTGAGACACTAAATTATTTGGCCATTGAGCAATTCTTACTGTTTAAACATTGTAGACGGCCTATTATGTAGATTGGAATTTATTTTTTTATTTTTTTGTGTGTGTGTGGGTATGAGAGAGAGACCAAAGGCACTTCTGTGCATTTCTCTTGCACGCCCATAGATGTAATTACAAATAACGCAAGCTCACATATTATAATGCATACTATCAGTTCATTTCATTTCCGTAGCTTTTAGATAGATAGCTACGTCTGATGAGGAACTAATGTTACAATAGAAGGAAAGGATACGCGCTTAGGAGACAAATATCTTTAGCAGATAGATCATGTATAATGGTTCTTATTTTATGTCAATTTGCTTTTTTGCGCGATAACATGAGCTAGCTGTTTATAGGAACCCACAGGAGGAGGAAGTACTTTTGGTCAGAAAAAAATCATATTAAGCTGGGTGACGTCGATTGAGAAGACAAACAAGATCATACCTCAAAATCATTCATATGTTTTCAGTGACACCAATTTGATACAAGATTTTGTAAATGTGATATCAGACTCTGCAAGAATGCCTTTGTGTACACAAGATCATGCATCAGTCACGCTAGTTCAAAGTCTACATGGTAATCAAGAGAGTGCAAGATTAAGTGGAACTGATCTAGATATGAGAAGTCAAAAGTACTTTACAGTTTACAGTGATCCTCAAAATGAGACAATACTTGAACTATGACTCAATGTCACTTCAGGAGTTGCTTCAGTTCACAGTTCATTACTTCAATATATCTCTTCCCTGACAAAAACGGTTGTACCATTTATTTTAAATTGTAAACTAAACTTATCACAACCATGTTGAGGATGAGATAAACATCCATGCTCGAGAACAAAATGTTTAGCATTCCAAGGGTAAAAAAACAAATAAATGCACAACCAAAGATGAGGCGGCCAACATTTTCGAGAGTACATCCCAATTGCAAAAGTTGAATATGAGACTGAATATGGAACAAAGACCCTGTAGTCCTCATCGAGTTTTATATAAACCCTGTGGTATTGTAGCTTAGAAGGCAGCACTACATAGCAATAGACGATACATGTAGTAACAACAACAAAACCAGTGAAATCCCACAAGTAGGGTCTGGGGAGGGTAGTATTTACGCATACCGCCTACCTTATGAAGGTAGAGGCAAAGCAATCTAGCAAAGCAATTCCAACTCACACAATATAGCATGTGGACAATACATATTTAAACAACTCTCATTCTAAAAAAACTAGCAAAGCAATTCCTACCTAGATAACAGCCCGTCTACAATGTTTATGCAGTAAGAATTGCTCGACGGCCAAATAATTTAGTGTCTTAGTTTGTCATTCTTGGTTTACATGGGAAATAACACACCTCACTGCAACATAAGAACTTGGCATCAGCTTTTTAATTGAACCAGTTGGCAGATTATAAAATACCCAATCTTTGGATTGAACTACAATAATCTCTTACACTAGAAAGAAAGTCAATAATTATCAGCTAACATACCTTACAAGAACATACAGTCAGTAAAAACAGAAGAGCATATCCAAATAAGCCTGTAAATAATACATCACCTAGTGTTTAATGCCCAAAAAAAAGGGGGGAAATAAAACAAAATGCCCATGAATAAATTTGATAATTCCACTAACAGTAATAGAGTGGTATTTTAAAGATTAACCTGGCTAAGGCAATTATGGAGCCAGCGTCCTTTGCTCAGAAGAAGAAGACGGGTTTTCTTGACGAAGCTCCTTAATAACAGCAGCCAATGCCTCAGGGTTAAAACCCAAATCGCAGAGGGAAATCAGAACAGAAAGAGTGTGACGATCGAGGCCTGTGTCCAGAATATTTGACATATGAAATACCAGCTCTAGAGAATCACGTGCTGTACGTGCTGCCGCCGGATCCATTTCGACAGTCTGTAAAGCCAGATACTTGAACATAAGAGGTTGAAAACTACCCAGAATTTAAGCTGAAAAGTTAAATTAGAGCCCAAGGAATGGGGAACTGAAAATTTACTTGGGATTTTGCTTCCTTTATGTGAATCGAGGATAGAAGGTTGCTGCTTCAAAATAGCTGCACTGCGAACGGGCAAAGATTTGGGCGGATCGCCATTTGACAAATAGTATGTAGTTGGACTTGGGGGAAGTGGTTTTCTTTTTTTTTTCCTTTTTCTTTTCTTTTACATATATGGTCCCTAAAATTTGGAAATACTCTAGTTTCGCTAGATTTTGTTGAAATATTTTGGTGAGGAGAGAAATGACAGCCCGGTATACTAAGTTTTCGCTATGGCGGGTCCGAGGACCACAAGAATTTACGCTACGCAATTTTATCCTACATTTGTCCAAGAGATTGTTTCCATTAGTGCTATTATTAGGAGAAAATGAGAAAAATGGTCCCTCATGTTTGAGAGTAAGTTCAAAAGTAGTCTTAAGTATATATTTGTCAAGAAGTTAATATTTTTGGTCTCCCTCAAATATTTAATAAACGGTATCTGTCAAATTTGACGGAAACTTATGGAAAAAAATAACGGAACTCGCATTTAGAAGTATAACTATTATAGTTTCTGTAATTTTTGATATATTTTTAGTTTGGTGCATCTTTGTAAAATGTACTCTACTATTTTTTTATGTCATTTGTCTAGTGCAGTTTTTGTGTTACATTTTAGGATTTAATGGGACCTTTGGGCTTTTTGGTTATATTTTTTCTTTTCATAGTTCTCATTAAATCTAACGAACATAAATTATTAAAATTGTCGAGAAATATCAAAAATGCTCAGTGTATACTATTAGGATGGACTAAAAATTTTGATAGAACAAACTTACATTTTAGGATTTAATGGGACTTTCTGGGCTTTTTGGTTATATTTTTTCTTTTCATAGTTCTCATAAAATCTAACGAACATAAATTATTAAAATTGTCGAGAAATATCAAAAATGCTCGGTGCATCCTAATAGGATGGACTAAAAATTTTGATAGAACAAACTTCAAACTTAACTACAATTTGGGTTTACAAACTTGTTACGTCGTTTTCATAACTTTGGGAAGGGAGTGGAGAATTCTTGAAACAATTCAAACAGATTTCTGCATTCTGTTGCTTGGTCTCGTCCAAAATTTAGAAGATACTTGTATCCCGTTCATTTCGAAAGGGTGACAATCATTTTACTTGACACTTTGTGTTAAAAATTAACCTTTTGTATAAATACTAGTGTTAGTGTACGCGCGTTGATCACGCCCAACTATGCCTTATAAAAAGGACAATGCGGTCATTGCAAATATAATCCGGTTTACAAGTCCGGAATCGAATCCCAGAGAGAACTAAGGTTTGGCTACAACTGTTCACTATCACCAAGAAGACAAGCTTGGACAGTTCCTAACTTATAGATATTTAGATTATTGTGTTTAACTAATTGATTAACAAATTAAAATAATAAATTAACAACTAAAGATACTAAGAGTTAGAGACAAGATTAAGGAGGTCTAGAGTTATGATTTCCCCAATTGTCGGAATCCTTCCCGCTATGTCTTCTATAATTTTGCCTAAGTATTCTCTACCGATCATGAGCACTCTTATTACCGTAAATCTCTCCCGAGTAATCACGA